GTCCCCAATCTTACTGGCTAACATCAACGGGTCAAACTCATTACACAGGAATCCAGCATTTGAATACAAATTCTTGTTAATAAATGTTCAAAAACACAATAGTCACTAAAGTTTTTAAAAATGTGTTTAATTGTTTAATATGAAACGGTCGAATTAATGGTTGAATTAATGTATTAAATGATTTATTATATACATATGTGTACAATGTAAAAGAGGGTTTACTATTATAAATATTATTTGTACTTTTGCAGCTGGTTGTTCTTTTGAAGACTCGATACGCAGATACAATAAAACATTTTTACGTATTAGTGTATGAATAATGCACGATAAAAAGAAAAGGCATATGCACTTTTCTTTGAAAGAAAAAAACATAATAATGACCGTTTCATTCTTCTTTAGAAAACCATGATATACTGTATCTGTTCATTCTTGTCACTGAAGCTGGTTTGCCATTTTATTTGTTGTGACAAGTAAAACATGATGAGTGAGGGCATTGCATAATTCTGTGGAAATGTGTCAACACTTCATAGGAACAGCAATGAGGAAGTACATTTACAGAAAAAAGCAAGAGCTCTGTCTTACAGCTGAATGTTGTGGCTTGTTTGTTACGTCCAGTAAGTCAGCTCAAAGATCTATTATCCTTTCAAAAGTAACTGATAGATAAATATGCTGTTTTCACTCTTCCAGTAAAAATTCGGTGTATAAGATCTGTAGGTAGGTCTTGAATCTTACATGGACATGAAATGATCAAAAATTCACATTTTTTCAGTATTTACAGTTAAAAAAAAACAATTTTCAATGAATGTAAAAAACAAAATGAACATGACATGACGCAAATACACTGTAGCATCTGAATAGGACTTGAAGCATTTGTAAAAGCACAGTATGTTTCAAAACAAATGTTTTGACTTGACTTACTAAGAAGTGAAAAAAACTGGACCGCAGTTTCCTGATTTCACAGCAAATCCAGAAACCAAATCGAACTAAATACCGTGATAGTCGCTGATCACTTCTATAGTCTTGCCAGCAGATGTCATTGGGAGAAAAGGCAGCAGAAGCCCAGGCTGACACTGTGCATTCTGGGTATTATTAATGAAACCTGGAGTGAAGGGGCTGAAGTTGGGCTGGGGGATCTTGTTGAACGTTTCTTCTGGATACTTCTTTAAAAGATGCTCGAAACTAGCATTTATCTTTTGTAAAAGCAGAGCATCAGGCTGCTCCACTTTAYTTGGAACTGGCTGGAAATCAGTTCTCTCGGGAAGAAAACTGGGGGAATTATTGGGMAAACAGCCGTAGAAGGGGTTTTCATGTTTGAAAGCTTTMTCGCAGCACATCTCAAACCCTTTAGGGCCAGTCTTCAGCTCRCCAGAGGTGGTTGTGTTGGTGTGACCGAAGGTAYCGTGTGAAGCTCTGTGAGGACATGYGTCACACCRCTGATGTGGCATTTCTGTTGGCACGAGAGATGAAGCATCTTGTTGTGCAGGAAGSAGATGAGCCTGTCGGTCAGGATTGTTCACCATGTCGCTCGTGTTAGGAGAGCACACACAGCCAGAAAACCTTTCAGTCTGCGATTGCACTTCCAAACTATCCGTCTTCCTCTGACCAGAACAGTTTGGTAAAAGCAGAGAATAGGTCTKATTGAAAATGTCGCTTGATCSAGAATTGTTTTTATTTTTCAGTTCCTGCGAGCAGCCGGACTCTTGATTAGCTACTAGAATTTCAGGAAAAAGTAGCTTCTTTGACCTGAAGAGAGACAAACACTTACTTTAAATACAATTCACACTGTARAGGAAATGCAYTTACAAATGTGTTTGTGCAGTCATACTAACATTTCTTCCTCTGTAACACAGACAGATATTTCAATCGGTGGAATCATGGTTATCACCTGAAACAAAAAAACATTACATGATGAAATCATCCTGCAGAATGGAGCCATTTTTACACACAGTGAAACAAAACTGTATATATATACA